TCCCCAACTCCTCCTTCTCACACACTAACCAAAATCCGGCACACATACACAAACACACACACAAAAAAAACACAAAAACACAAAAACGCACAAAAACACACACAAAACACACACAAAAAAAACACAAAAACACAAAAACACAAAAACGCACAAAAACACACACAAAACACGCACAAACACACAAAACACGCACAAAAACGCACACAAGCACATGCACAAACACACAAAACAAAAACACACGCATGCCTACCCGCGCCGCCTTGAACAGCCACGGATGCTTCATCAGCTGCGGTGCCGTGGGTCGGTCCTGCGGGTTCTCGTTGAGTGTCGTCATGATGAAGTCCTTGGCGGCGCCCGACACGGAGGCGGGGAACCGCAGTGACTTGCGAGTGGCCTGCTCGGCCAGGAAGGCCCCTACGGCGGCGCCGTGTCGGCCGCCTCCACTCACCACCTCGGGGTCGGTTTGGCTGTTAGATACGAAGGGCGGGAAACCCACGAGCATCTCGTACGCCAATACACCCACGCTCCAAATGCTGTGATGATGCGTACGGCGAGGGGAGGGGGGGAAGGGGGGGATAAGGGAGGGGAGGAGGAGAGGAGAGGAGAGGAGAGGAGGGGCAGGGCGGGAGAGGCGTGAAGAAGAAGAAGAAGAAGAAGAAGAAGAGGGGAAGGTGTCGGAGAGGCGGCGACTGTAGCAACTAGCCAGTCCCCCGCCAGCATCCCTCTAGCTCCCATCTGGCCGATATGTACCCCCCGACCCCCCCACCTTTCAACCCGATTCGAAATCAGCCAACAGACCGTACTGCTGTGTGCGACCCCTACTGCTACCGCTAGCCGTACGTAACCCTTCTTCCCACCTCTCCTCACCCTTTTTCACTTCTAAACAAGCTACACCAGCAACCCACCCCCCTCAGCACCCCCCACTTCCTCAACCAATAAGCCTTCCCTCCCAACCCAACCCCCGCCGGCCGCTCGGGGGGGGGACAATAACCCCCACTCACTCTATCGCGGGTGTGTACGACAAGTTCGGGTTGTTTTTATTGTCCTGGGGGGCATGTTTCAGGGGGCATCGCTCCACCTCGGGGGCCTGTATACGGGAGTACGACAAAACCACGAAGGGAGTTGGGGAAGCGGGGGAAGGAGATTGTGGGGTTGGGGGAAGGGGGGTAATCGCACGCCAAGCACCCATTGCCGAGTTGTCCGATGCAAAGGTGCACATGCAGATGCAGATGCAGATGGGGGTGAAGGTGGAGAGGGACGGGGAGATATATCCGCAAAAAGGGGGGGGGTAGGCTCCCGATGCGATACGGACGCGGGGGCGGTGAGAAGAACTAGAGGGGAAGACGACATCATTGACTTGATGACGAAGGGATAAAAATATAACGAATCCACTTGGAGCCAGCAAGACAGACAGACAGACAGACAGACCTTAATG